AGGGGCCTACCACAAACCCAAACGGAGACTTTTTACAAGGGCACGTAGTGATAGGACAAGGTGGAATGGTTTTAAACTGGAAGAGGGTAGATTTAGATTAGACGTTTACTGTGAGGGTGGTGAAGACACTGTAACAGGTTGCCCAGAGAAGTTGTGGATGCCCCATCCCTAGAAGTGTTCAAGGCCAGGTCGGACGGGGCTTGGAGCAACTTGGTCTAGTGGAAGGTGTTCCTGTTCATGGCAGGGGGGTTGGAACTAGATAATCTTTCCAATCCAAACCATTCTGTGATGCTGTTGTTCTATTCACAATGTTTACGGCTGCAATAATCCAGAATGATTGACCATTTTCAATTTCCATCCATCTGTCATTTGTAGATTCTCTTCCATTCTTGTCTTACTTATGTAACACGTACCCACTTTGGAATATAATGCAATAAAGAGCTTCCTGAAGAGGCAATGAGGGCAATGTAGATGCAGCAGTTCAGACTACTCTAGTCAGCTAAGCGGAACAGTCAGCCATGCTGAGAGACAGTGTTAATTAGCAATGATGCTGGTATCTGTTTTTATGAAATCTATGTTTCTATGATAAAGAATATGTATATACGAATATATATACACACATATTCATATCTGGAAAATAATACATGTGGTCATGTCATTCAAGAATGAAAATAAAATGAAGCAATTGAAGAGGCAGAGGAAGCCAAGTATGTTTAGTCTTGGCTGAAGAAAGCTAGTGACAAGAAAGCTAACCAAGGATCTAGTTTTTCATTTCAACTATCTTACGAATAGCTATATCGAAAATGGAGCCTTCTTAGAAATGCACATCTAAAGAAAAAGGAGCAATATTAACAAGCTGCAGCCCAGGAAACTCTCACATGGAATAAGGAAAAATATTCAGTGATTCAGCACTGGAACAGGTGCTCCAGAGAGGTGCTGGAATTTCCATCCTTAGATTCAAAACTGAGCTGGCTGAGGCCCTGTACAACCTGATCTTAATATGAAGTTAGTCCTGCTCAAATGGTTTGGACCACAGGACTTCCAGAGGTACCTTCCAATCAATCAACCTGCATTTCTCTATAATTTTAAAATGCATGTAATGCTTCCATATAAAAAACAATGTGAAAACAGCCAATGTAACATTGTCATTTCTCATTTTTTCATGCATAGTTTTACTTGCTTCCATTTTAATCTTTTTGTAAGGATTATACAGTTTTACAAGATGGGGTTGACATAAGCTCAAGTTTTAATGAAGTTACACCACTTAAATATGGAAAAATTGAGGGTGACATATGCAAGATACAGATCTGTCAACTGGTTAAGAGGCACCCAATTTGAAAACATGTCTCCTGGAGTACTGCTATCAAACTGATTTTTATAGGTTGCAGATCTATGAAGTCTTGTTCCTATTTTAGAATAAATTATTTCCTTTCAGTCATGTTTATGTGTGTGTAAACACCTACGTATATATTCATACACCCTCAGTTAAGTTAGTAAATATTGTAAACACATATACAGTACTGAAAAAAAATTAGTATGAAAATAGTGACTAATATCTCTATTAATGGCCATGAAAGAAGGTGAAAGCATGGATATTCAGTGGGATCAAAATGTTACAATCTCATAGGAAATTAATCATGAGAAGTCAAGGTGTCACTCTTCAAAGCATTCAAAGTGGACCTATGTTGGTTTCCATTTTAAACATTCCATCTTTGCTCTTTCAGTTATTAAGGTCAAGAATACAAAAAAGTTATAATGAACATTACAGTACATCACAGAATCATAGAGTCAAAGGAACCTAATATTGCTTTCTTTTAACTAATGAAACAGCATTTTAAAATTTTATGAACCGTATTGCAAAGAATAGCAATGAGTATGATGGATGGAATCAATCTACAGTGTAACTAATTTTGAATAATTAAGATTGTTTGACATAGGTGAATAAAAGGTTCATGGTAAAACTTATCCAAGTCTATCATACTGAGGCTTTCTTTCTAAAAATATTCTTACAATTACACATTTCAAACATTCTGTTCTTATTCCAGAATACCTACCAAGTGGCATTGGACAGACTAGAAGGGAAATCATGTTTGGTCATAGGGAAAAGAAAAAGTGGAAAACATTGCCCTAGACAAGGAATAGGATATTTTACAATTTTAAAATATTAATGGAAAGCAAAACCCTTTTTGTCCATAAGGATTAACTAGAAAGCTAAAACCTGTTAAATCAATAAATATATCTGCTTATTCTACTATGTAATATTTGAAAACCTTGTAAATACACTGACTATACAGACCTGGAGTGAAAACCTGAGCTTACAGAAAACATTTATTTTTCCTGTGACCTTAAAGTGGAACCAGATTTCACTCTAAAACTTTCATCTCACTATTTAATATTGCATTCTTTTGCACTTCTATCCCCTTAAAAGTCTGTATTAAAAGCATATTTTTGTTTATAATTCTTTTTAACTTAAAAATGCTTATGATGACAGAGTTTGTTCTGGAATATATGTTAAAAACCTCTTGGATTAAGGTTTTCCAAAAATTTGGATGAATTTTTGAGCTAAACTTTAGTTTAATCCCTTTAGTCTAAAGTTAGTCTGTCCTTTTAAACTCTAATCTGAAAGACTTCAAAATAGCAAATTGTATGGAACTCAATCTGTTTACCTGAAAAGGATGAAAGGGTTTGTGCTCCATCTAGATTTGAACTTCTGGTTCCACAGTGTCTAGGTATTTCAAACCAGAGGTTTACACCATTAAGACATGCCACTCATGATAACTCAATCTTTCTTATGTTAATATCCATGTTAGAAAGATAAATGAATGTCTTGATAAACTAGTAAAAATGATTTTTAAATACTAAATGACAAGAATTATGAAAGGTGTCTATCAAAATTGCCACTTCAGACACAAGAGGTGATATTTATTTAAAAAAAATAATAATTCTGTAGAAATCTCAGGAAAAAAAGTGACCTCACTAACAGGAACTTTATTTTGTTCCCTAATGGCACACAAGAAAAACCCTCTTTCATTTATTACCTTTGTCTCATCCCACTCACAAAGTAATCTGTTTAAGACTACCTTAGTTAACCAAACTGTGAAATAAATCCAATGTACCCTATAACACAGGCAGCCCCAGTTAATATTGTTCAAATTATTTACATCTGAAGGGCCGCGCCTGTCTGGATAGCTGGGCCCGACGCTTCTCTGGACTTGGTTTCTGCTACTCACATCTGTTTCAGCTTTAGACTTTCACTGGTATTCTGCCAGCAGCCACAACTTTTTAATGGCTACAATAAACTACAGAGACTCATCAAATCTTTGTTGTACGTGTTAAAATTATAACCTCTTCAGTTAAAATTTTGATTTAAAAATAAACTGCTGCATTATCTGAAGAAAAAAATTTGAAAGGCAATGTTTGAAAGAGATACAACATTTTATATGAGTGATTGTTTCTTTGTTTAAATACAAGAGAAACTAATCACAGGAATGCTTGTTAGAACTCTGCTGCATATTTCTGAGTGATAAAACACCAGCCTCTGAAAATATTTCCACAACCTTTTTTGTTTCAAATCTTTGCTGTCATTAACTTTATATGTTAATTAGTTTGGCTGGGTTTCAAATACCTCTTTACAAAGAAGAATTATGAAAACAACCTCAACATGACTTTTCTAGATTTTCTATAAGTACCTAAGAAAATTTGGTTTAGAGATTAGAAATCAGTGTTTATAAGAAAACTGCAGTTTTTATTTTATGAGTTAAAGTGTTTAGCTTTTCCTACTTGCTGTCTGTGTCTTTGCAGCGTAGAACAAATATGATGTGAATGTCACAGCCTCAATGTAGATCTTGCAAGACTAAGATGCATGACAGCAGGACTACATACTGAAAAAGTACAAGATCAAACACAGATCACGTTTCTGCACAAACTGGCCCAAAAGAGGGCAGGCCAAGGGGTTTACAGGGCCAAGCGATGAGAGGAGATAGAGCACTTACTTATGCCCGGGTCAAACAAACAACAACTGATACTTTCCTACCACTGTTAACCTTTGAAATTATCCTAAAGATGGAAGTGACCTAATCCAGCAATTTCTAACTGTAAGGATAAATTATTTTGTAATGGTTTTCACTGCCTAATATATTGAAAAGAATTAAAAATAAGAACCTTGTTAAACTCTGATTCTAAGAGAACTCTTCATTTTGATGCAGAAATTTAAACATAAATGGAGAAGTTTCTACAGGCTTTTATGCAGATTCTCTCACTAAGCGCCATTTCCCCCACAAAACTGCTTCAGTATAAGTAGCAACTTCTCCTTAAGGAAAAAGACAGGCTTAAAGTATTCAGTCATCATTTGCTGGATTTATTTTAAAAAGTCACATGAAGCATGAAATAAAAATGAAACTGCTTGGAATACTTAGAGAGCAACCCTTCCTATTTTATTTCCACTCAGTACCTTGATTGATAGATGAGTTGGGTTTCTGAGCCCCTCTTTATAATAAACATTTTAAAATGTTTATTTTATGTCCCAGGGTGAAAATATTTTGAACTGGAGCTTTCCATTTCGCTTTGCTGTGCCTTGGCAAGCTGTGTTTTATTTCTACATTAATAGTATTCAACTTTTTCTTGTAGTTGTTAAATTGTTGTTATACAAGTACTGAAGAAAGTATTTATATTATGGAACTAACAGATATCTACAGTTAAACATACAGTTCTGGAAAAGTCAGAGGAAAATTCACATATAACTGAAGAAAATTTCAGAAAGATTTCTTTAGGGGCCTTTATTGTAAAAGGGAAAATTACTTTTCAGCATCTTTACTTACATTTTTATTAAGTTGTGAGTTTGAGGGTTTTTTTCTAATTTATGTGAGCAATTTGTGCCACAGTGTAAAAACTCTAAATGAATCAACACTATAAACCTAATTAGCAATAAGAAAACCTCATAAAGGTCACATTTTAAATGGCACTTTGTTGTTAGCAGAAAAAATGTGAAAGTTCCCAGTTACCTTCTAGATCTCTCTTCAGTTTCCTTAAGTCTTTTATTAGGTCTTCAAATTTAACTTGGGAGGCCTGGAAAAAATCCTGTGGTTCTGGTAAAGGAAAAATACTCTTGTCTGTTCCTGCTTCCTAAACAAACAAACAAACAAAAAGGCCACTATGAAAATTGAATGCATTTGCAGTGAAATAAATTACTTTTCTTAAAACATCTATGAAACCCTACTATAAAACTGCAAAATAAAATATTTAAAATAATTAACGCTAAACCAACATATATAACATTCACGATGAAATCCTGACCATTCTGAGTGTTGAAAATTCCTTTTCGATGTTGTAAAGCTAACTTTACTCAATTTAAACTACGAAACAACATTGAGCTCACAATTCACAACAATGAATTTCTGTTCATTTTCTATCAATAGAGGTTTAGATAAAGGATTAGAAGTTTCTTAAAAACAGATATCATGAATGCTTATTTTAATGCAATAAGTGATCTTATGCCAAAAGTTTGTGGTTTCATTCTCTCCTGATTCATTGAATATATATGCACTTTATAAGCATAAATCGAAAACAATATGTATATATTGCCTGAAGTATTTTATACAGTTAAAAATATACAGTTGAAGGTTTATGCAGCTAAATAAATTCCATGGGTTAATGTCTGTATGGAATTCCTAAGTATACACCTTATTTTTAGCACAATAAGAAAAACAAATCATAAGTAAAATAAAACAAAATAAAAAAAACTTACAAGGTTTAAAGCAATATCTCCAGTGGAAATTTAAGAAGTATATAGATGACATTAATATAACATTGCTGTGTATAAGCATATACTAGTGAGTTTAAAATACTACCCATGTGTGGATGTCATGTAATAAATGTAATAAGCAAATTCTCATAGGTTGGAAAACGATTTGTTTTGTGAACATGGAAAAAGTAATTTTAATATTATAAAGATATGGGCATTCAGGGGGGAAAAAAAGTAGAACTGATGACATTTACACAGTGTCCATTTCCTCCCAAGGAAGATAAACTGCTCTGTTTTAAAAAATTCCCTGAAGTAAAACTACATTGTAGTAGAAAGTTTGCAGAAATATTAAATATTTAAATCAATGAATCAGAAAGCATTAGCTTCAGCATACATATGCCAATACCCTACAAACTAAGAACATTAAAGGTTAGACAAAGTTGCTTTTGCTATGAGTCTTTTTACAAGGCAGTTACTTTAGTTGAAGTAATGACACTTTATTTCTCCGCTCCAAAGAAAAAAAAAAAAAAAAAAAGGAGAAAGAAAACAAGTATAGATCTACATATCTGCTAGCTTGCTAGTTTTTTATCTCCTCTACAGCTCAGCCCCAGGAGTTCTTCTACAGGCTTCTGACACACAGACCCTCCAGCATTAAAAATCACAGAATCACAGAATGGTTTGAGGTGGAATGGGACCTTTAAAGATCGCCTACTCCAGCCCGCTGCCACGGGCTGAGAAAAGTCTTCACAAGAAAACCGGAAAACAACAACAACAGCAAAAAAGGAAAAAAAATTATTTGTATTAGACTAGACATAGGGCTGTTAAAAATTAAGCTAGTCTTAGATTCAAAGATTAGGTAAACATTCAAAAATAAGGAATTACGTACTTAAAATCAATTAACAGTGACATTTTCAATTAAAAGATAATAGTTCAAATTTTCCACTTAAAAACTTTGACTACTGCTGATATCTATCAAAAAGCCTCATAAATGTAACTCACTCAAAGCAGCAGCCACACCTCTTCCCACATTTTCAACCCCTAACTTCATCCCCATCGGCTGACTCATCTATCTTAGGATACCAACCTGCCCAAGTATTCTGTCATGAGAAGAGAAATAATGCTTCTGTCTTCCATTGTTACCACATCAGAACAAGATTTACAACATTACAGTAACCAGGATGTAAGAAGACAGAACTGGAGTGATCGCCTGCCCAGTCTGCAGCAGTCACAGGCAACTGCCTGCAATCGCAGCCAGTTCAATCATTACTATAAAATTTTCCAAAGCCTTATTATAAAACCCATAGCAAATTTCAGACCTACTGAGGTCCACATCCATTATATGAAAGCAAAAGAAGTGGATTTTATTTTTCCGTCAGTGCTGCTATTTTCAGATTTTTAAAAAGCTAATGTAAACCCTTTTACAATATCTTAAAGAAACCTAATTTTGGAGAGACATACAGCAAATGAATCTTTTACCTTATCACAATGGCGTAGGTAATATATGACAACGTAATCCACAAGATTAATACCATTATCCTACGAAAAAACAAATGTATTATTAAGAATGTGTTTTATTAACACTGCTCAAGTGAGTGAAAATTTATAAAATTTGAAAATAAATATATTATTATTATCATTTTATATTGCCATGAAAAATAGGACTCACAATATCATCAGTCCTAGCATTACTGACCAAAAAAATCAATCTTTTATAACATAGGATTGATTGTACCAGCACAGGACCTAGAGCTTCTCTTGGTTCTAAGAAAACATCCACTGGGAGAAGCTGTCCCCATATCTTTTTCTAATAATACAAGGCATTACCGAATAATGATATTAAGTTACTTAAAAATACTATTTAATAATATTATTCTTTAATATAATATTAACTAAATATTACAGCCACCTCAGATATATTCAGGTGAACTGAATTTCTCAATTTCTCTAGTCTCAATTCATCTACAATAAGGATCTGAAAGAGGCATAAATATTTTTCATATTTTACTCCAAATATAAATCCAGACTTCATGTACCTAACAAGTATATCTCATACCCTTGTGCCTTTTAAATATGAATTTTAATACGCACTTTGTGGAATCATAATTTCTATGATCCTGCATGCAACAACTGTACACGACATCATTTTAGTTTGTTATGTCGTTGGGTCAGCATAGGCCAGATCAACTAAAAGAAATGTGTAAAACTGTGACTTACATGTTACAGGGTACTGTTCAGCAATGTAAAAGAATCATAATACAGGGAATTATATCTGGAATGTCTTTGAAGCTTTTTTGGATGTATTTTCATATTGTGTATTAGAAGATATCAGGACAAACACTTGTATGTGAACAATGTCTGACTTCCTGTACAGAGCTGCCTCGCCTATACTGGAGCCTGCAGCACATTATATTTTATTAATGTCATACGACAGCAAAATTCTTAACTAAGCAAGTCATCACTGTCATACAGACAAAGCCACTCTGTTTGTATTACAGTTTTGGAAGACATTGCTGAAGGTCATGCGACAAAGGAACTGAGGTCACTCATGAAGTGGTAAATGCTCCATCTCTGGCAGCGTTCAAGGCTGGACAGAACCTTGGGTGACATGGTCTAGGGTGAGGCATCCCTGCCTGTGGCAGGGGGGTTGGAGCTATATGATCTTAAGGTCCTTTCCAACCTCAGCTATTCTATGATTCTATGACATTTAATTGGCCTTCAGAGTGAAATACATCTGTTGCTAAACTACCAAACCTATTCCTTTGGTTTAAATTATATTTGCATAAGACAAAACACAGAGATTTTGAAGTGGTGAGCTACATGTTTTTAAAAAAAAAATCTGTATCAACTAACTTTCTAGGCTCATGTGACAACAAATGACTTTTATGTGAAGTGAGAGATATGTAACACTGACACTTTACCTTGGCTCCTGGAATTCAGCTTACCTAGATGCAATACTCTTGCTGGCAATTCCCAAAAAAGGGACTAATGGAACACAGGAAGGATACTTTAGTGTTCAACTATACAAGACCCTGCATCCTTCTTCCTTGCAAATATGGTCTACCAATTAATTCTGTGGTTTCACATCTGCCTGTAGCAGTTGGCCCCTTTGAGTTTTTAGGCATTTTGGAGACTAGTGTAAACGAACAATATATTTATTCTGGCTACCAGGGAATTGTAAATATTTTTATAGCTCGTTTTGCTAAGGAACAAGTCTTATGCAATTATATTGTACATCTGTCACTCCTTTTCATAACTCATAATTTTGGAATATGTTGGCTAAATTCAGCCAAATTGGAAAGTCCCAGAGATAATTAAATTCTTACAAGTTTATGGTTAGATAGAAGAGCAAGACTAAAATTAGCACTTCTATTGAGAAAAGCCAGGCAAAGCTCAGTAGTTTTACATTTTTCTTTATGACAGCTGGTCAACCAATGAACACCTGAATACTAGGAAACTTGGCCTGGTTCTAGTTTAGCTGCAGCTTGTACCGAGTCTTGTCCATGGAGTGGGACTGGAAGAAAAGTGGTCTGAATTAGTAAGAATTATAATCATAGGATCATGGAATCATTTAGGATGGAAAAGACCCTGAAGATTATCAAGTCCTAACCGTAAAACTAATGCTGCCAAATCCACCACTAAACCATGACCCTAAGTGCCACCTCCTTTAAATACCTCCAGGGATGGCCACTCAACCACTTCCCTTGGCAGCCTGTGCCGATGCTTGACAATCCTTTCAGTGAAGAATATTTTTCCTAATATTCAATCTAATCCTCTTGTGCTATCACTTGCTGTTTTGGAAAAAGAGATTGACAGCCCCCTCGCTTCAGCTTATGTTCAGGTAGTTATAGAGTGCATGCTAAGGCCTCCCCTGAGCTTCCTTTTCTCCAAGCTAAACAATCCCAGTTCCCCTCTCCTTGTAAGACTTATTCTCTAGAACCTTCACCAGTTTCTTTGCTCTTTGGGCATGCTCCAGCACCTTAATGTCTTTAGGAAACACAGGACTCACAGAACTTTCATTAATACAGTTGCTAACTGAACAATTCATTAAATGTGTTTTTACACATTATTAATGTTGCCTTTCATGGATAAAATAAAAAGCTCCCTAGACATTGCCTGCCACACAAACACATTCTTACATACATGAAGCATAACTGGGAACAAAAGCTTAATATCTACATTTCTTATAATTCAAGACAGCACTTCATTGCTGCTTCAGTATCCATGTAGTGTCTAGGTATGCTCTGGCATACCTAGTGCTTCCATTGCCTACATTATCTAACACCTCCTCCTCTGCCTGACTGAAATAAGCAACAAAGCAATTTCACCTCAAAAGGTTTCCAGAGTTTGTTTGACACTAACTTTGATCCCAGCATGACTAATCAAAAATGTGCTAGTTCTCAATTTTTGACAAAATAATTAACTGCCATCTATGAGTATTTTCTCATGTATGCCATTCAGAATTCATGCCCTACATCCATTTAACTGCCAATTAAAAAAACAGACTGAAAACATCTTGCTGGGTCTGGCATGCCTCTTTGAAGAGGATTAAAATCCTGTATATTATAAATTTATATGCCTTAAGTATAATTCCGCAGTGTACATGTTACACTGAACCTTCACTGATACTTCACTTTAAAATCTGATTTTTCAAATATTTTTACTCACATAGAGCTACCTTAAGTTAAGAGCAAGAGAAAAGAATGGGGACATTTACTGGAGAAGACTTCAGCAGTCTGTGCTACTTCTCTCTATCCTACTGCAATTATATCTCTACTAGTAAGAGAGACACACAGAAGTCCTCACATAAGACAATTATCCTAGAAGTACTGTGAAGGAGAAATTGGAGATTATGGAAATAAGCACAAGTGCAGGAGAAAGTGAAAAGTTGGGAGAAAAAAAATCAAGAAATGATACGAAGTGCCTTCTTCCTTCAAGCAAGAATGGTAAAAAATAAGAAAATACTAACTTTTGACAGATGAACAAAAAACATCACTTCAGAAAAATTATCTTTAATTAAAAATTAGTACTTACTCTGCTTTTGACATCCTTTAGTTTGGGGAGTATTTCCAATCCAAATCCATCAGCTTGACCTCGAGTTCTATTCCCACCATTCATATAATTTCCAAAAGCCAGAATCAAGCCTAAAATTTCCTTCACACTTGTCATGTTCAGCAAAGCCTGGAAAGAGGATAATAGTCTGTAACTTCTATTGGCACAAAAATTCTAATCACTAATATAACAAAAAGCTTATTTTATTTTATTTATGCTAGAAGTTTTGTTTCTTGTGTT